ACAACGGCGTGTGCCTTCAGAGAGGTACTCAAGAGTTCCTAGCTGAGATTTTCCTAGATATTGCCTCTATGCTTCGTCTCGGTTCCTCTTTCAGAGACCTCTCTCTTGCAGGGCGGACAAAGCTGAATGATGTGGTGGGTGCAGAGAGTGGTCAGGAGCCGTGCTTGGCGTTGGAGAGAAGCCACCGGCAGCAGGATGGTGACACATAGGTAGATTGTTGAAGTTCTCGGTAGGTGATACTGATAGAAGGTCATCCACATGGTTTTGACAGGAAAAAGCAAATGCCAGGACACTGGGGAGCTGAGGTTTTAACAGGTCCGCAGTTCTTGTGCTGTGCGGGGCAGTTGCATCATTTGGAGACAGTAATTATGCTAATACCTCCTGCCTTATCAATTTAGATACCTAAGCTGCTGGTAGCATCAGACTCCTGCGAACTGCTCCGATTGTTTTTACTTGAGTCTGGGGGAGTAGACGAGTATTTTGGGTTTTGTATGTTCCCCACAGGCTACAATTGATGGATGACCTTGCTATGATGATCTTCGCGTTTCGGTCTGCTTCAGACTCCGGTATTCTCTTTGTAGCTCAGAAGAAATCCACTTGGGGTGGATTTCTAGTGGGGTGTCATGGTGTGGCATGTGCTGTGTGGTACCATTTAGTGTGAGCACTTGTCTATGGGTGCAAGCGAGTAATGGCAAGTGTTCAAGCTATTGCAGTTGGAAGAGTTATTGCTCAGGCAGGTTGCCTTTAACTGCCTGCTTGTGTGTGCTCTTTTGCTTTTTCTACCACAAAGAAGATCTTTTCTTTTCATTGAAGATTACCGTCTCAACCACAGACCTCTTTTTCAGACGTTTGGAACTTTTTAAGCGCAATATCAGTGTTGTGGTATACTTGAAATAACTGTCTGTAAAAGGGCAAGGTGAAATCTTGGTCTGTTTCAAGCAGACAAAACCTTGCGGGGATGTGATGTGCAGATAGATGGTCAGGTGAGGTTCTCCTGCCCTAACAGCTTGAAGGTTCGTAGCTCTGATGGCATTTACAAGTCTGCCGCCACAATTAATAAATAAAATAAATCAATAAAAATGGATGTCCTTGGTAGAAGACCAGAAGAGAAGTGCTATCCTTCCCAGGTTGTATCCTGGAAGAATTAGTTACTTACCAATTTCTTCTAAAGCAGTACATTTTAAGTCTGTGTAAAAGTACTTTTTGAGTACTTTTTGTTTTTATAGTGCTGCTTTAAAGCAAAGACCAAAGGTCTCTCAACGAGAAGCCCAGGATCCATGCTATCTGCCCGACAAAAGGGATTAAGATGGAAAGCGTAGCTGACTTCTCAGAGTTTTTATCCTTTGATTTTAAAGAATTGTTGTCTAAAGATTACTAAAAATACCAATTGTACATGATTATTTAATTTAAAAGCGTTCATTAAAGTTGAAATGGTCAAATATCAATGTTTTTGGAAGGAATCCATTGACATATCGACTGCTTCTCATTGAAATGCAGGTACTAAAACGCGTGTTAAATACATAAACACATTTATGTTATGCTAGCATCTAGGAATTTTGCATTTTGGAGCTCAAGCCATCATTTTCTGAAGAATTCCTAATTTAAGAGAATTGCGGATACATATGATATGCCTTTTGCTTTTGAGACTAAATGTATATATATAAGGTTTTGTTGCCAGAAGTCTGTTTTAACCTGGGTGTCACATGCGAGGACTTGGACCTATTCCATCTGGTTAAAGAAACGGGCGCTTGCTTTGTGTCACGCTGGAAGAACTGGGCTAGAAAAGGACGGCTACTTGTAATGAAGAACGAAGCGAAACGCAGGAGAGCAACGATTGTCATGATTTCTGGAGTTCAGTCTATGCCAGATTGTTCCCTCCTGGAAGAAGTATGTCTAAAGAGGGACAAAAGAATAATATCTGTTAGCTTGTCTACCTAATATGGGATAATATCCTCCAGTGGAAAGGAGAGAGAGGAAAAAATGAAAAAAAATTAAGTGGGAGTAACTACTGACATCTCCAAAAGAGAAAATCCAGGAGGAGAAAAACCCCAAACCTGTATAGGCTTTGGTACATTGCTCTGTGAAGCCCATTTACTTGGGACATGAGCTTTTTTTTTTTCCCCTGTGGATTTTTTGTTTGTTTTATAGAACACTTGGGAAGGAAAAAAAAAAACCACAACCAACCCCACTAGAAACTCAAAACATCATGCAGTTCTGGCTTTCTGAAATAAATAGCTAAATAATTTTGACATGTAATTGATACATGAGTTCATTATTTCTACTTTCCTCCTTATCTGCAAGCAAACAGTTTGCAGAGGAAGTTGGAGATCAGCATAAATTCCATGTAAAGTCATTCTATATGACCGATAGCTTTGAATAAAAAAAAAAAGAAATAATTCAAAAACAAACCCTCCTATTCTATAGCCTCTCAATATAAATAAACAGTATTTTCTTTGAAGTTAAAAAGAGGTTCCTGGTAGTTGTTGTGACCCTTTAGAAATGCTTGAGTTTCAGAAAACTGTACATTTGACCCTTGGTGGAGAAAATAATTTTGCTCTGAAGCTTTATCCTTGTGCTGATAAATGAAGGGTGACTGTAGCTGGGGGGTTAGCCCAGATATTAGGACTCCGGTTGTGTTTATGTCAGAGCAGATTTAATTTGAACAGATTCTACGGGTTGAGTGGAAAGTTTCTGCAGTTAAATGTGCCCTAACTGGGTTTTGAATAGCAAGAAAATTGGGCTTGCTTAACTGGAGCTGCATGAATTTAGCTGAGTTATATAAGGGTATTGAAAGCAGATTAAAAAAAAAAAATATTACTTAATACATTACAGTAACCTCTTTGTTTATTTCTTTACGCTGAATCTTATAGAGAAGAATTTTGCGGTGTCTCCTCAGATTTGCTCTTCCACTTGTATGGTTTGTCAGAAACTAAATGCCTTGGTAATGACAGGCTTCTGAATATTTAATTTTTTTTCTGTAGCTGAAAAGTATTTTTTCCCAAGCTGTTGTTTTTCTTTTGATAGAAAAACATTTCTGCTGGTGGCTAAAGTTCTAATAATCGGTGTGTATATATAGGTCTTGCCTGCTCTGTTTGGGATGGACATGGGCAGGGGATTGCAAAGCCGTTCCTAGCCCAGCCTTCCTTCTGGCTGAGATGAATTTGCAGTGGAACCAGATCACAGCGTGACCTCTGGCCCGATCTAATCATCGGCATTTACGGTGGCTAACTTCCTCAGTAGTGGGCAAAAAGTCAGGTAACTCACCGAAACGAAAAGTCATTCCAACGTGCTTCGTGATTTTTAAGGAAGAACGTCACGCAAGCGGCGTGTCTCTTCCTGACCCACAGCTTCAAATGTTACAGATTCAGATACCTCAATCATGTGAGAGAAAATACAAACAGTGAGTTTGCATAACCTTCACTTTCAAAAACATTTCTGTATCAGAAGTAGTGCTGTTCTGTGGACTGGGAGCCAGGAAATTGCGATTCCAGTTTGCTCTTGACTTTGAGCACGTAACTAACGCTCTCTTTGCTCAGAAACTCTGACCCAGAGCTACTGCTTAACTTTAGCTGTCTGTACACCGTGACACGTGAAACTCTTCTCATCCTTTACACTAATGCATGTTATTGACAGTACTTCTAGCAGCACCCTTGAGAATGTATAAGTATTTGAGTGTGCTAAAAGTCAGACAGACTTCTTCTAAATGAAATCCTGTTAATTCGTGACGTTGTAACAGAGAAAATACTTAGCATCACTGCTTACACGCACATAGATGCTGATTTTCCTTTTCTTTTCTTTTTTAATTTTAACAAGCAATACTATAAAACCTTTGAATTTGAGAAGTAGAAATAGATTTTGCATTTCCAGTAGGTCAAAAAACCTTGATAGTTGATGCTGGATACCTGTTGTAACTTAATGATACTGGATTGTAAAGCATAGTGTGGAAATTAAATAGTAACAGTGGGGGAAACATTAAAAGTACTTAATAACAATCTTTCTAATGGATTACAGGATGGTACTGTTGCACCGAATGAAGCATCTCCTTACTTTTGGAGGAGGTAAAAATGATGTTTGGTTGAAAGCAAGGATGATACTGGCTCGTGTCCAAGTTATTTTATCGTGTTTTAAAAGGTTTTGTGTATTCTGCAATTTATTACGGACTAAGGAGGCAAATGCCATTTTTCTCCTCCTTTTAAAAATAAGATACATAAGGTCATTGTAGGCAGAGGTGGGAACAGAAAACGCAGGATATCCCAAATAGTGGAGATCTCTCTCATCCATTTTGTTGCACAGCCTTTCCTAATTAACCTTAACTTAATGAGCTTTAACTATCTGGTGTGAGTATTTAATCATTACAGCACATTCTTTGGGGTTGGCTGTAATATCTTGAACCTTTATATAAACACTATAACCTCAAAAATACTGTTTAGAACTGAACAACTGTGTGTGGTATCGTGATATCCCGAGCATTTCTTACACTTAAACTGCAGTTTGTGTATTATATTCTTTTCTTAGGGTTCCACTTTTCCTGGCAGATGGAGCTGTGTTTGGCTAGCTGGACATTTCCCTGCTGTAGCATGATGGTTTTGTGACAATTTAACAGGACAAAGGACACGCTTTTGAGTTATATTTATTATTTATAGAGTGAAGCATAGTCTGAAAATTGCAGCTGGAATGTTCTGGGCAATACCTCAATATTTTTTACATTGTCTTCTCTTTTGGTATATAAAAAAATTGCTTACTTCTAAGAAAAACAACCCATTGTTGGTATGAAGTGATTCTGGGTTTTATGAATTTGTTGTTTACATGTTCCCAATGTTGTTTACAATTCCCAAAACTTATTGTGTTAAACAATGAATTTGTTGTTTACATGTTCCCAATTGAAACTTACTGTGCTAAACGGGGTATAACCTCAGGTGAAGCTACCAAATGTTCTTGGAAGTCAGGTTGTAAACAAACCCAGTAGATTAATCTTTATAAATATTCTTTTTTTCCTGCAGAGATATCACGTACAGCATTTCCTTGGAAGCTGTGACAACCCTCATCGTCTTCCTCTCCTGCCAATTATTCCACAAAGAAATTCTACGAGAGAGCATCATTCACAAATACCTGATGCACGGTCGATGGTACGTTGCATTCTGGGGTGGTACCTAATGGCAAAAGAAATGCTTGTTTAGACTGTTTGTACAACGAAATACATTTTGATAGAAAACTTCTGCTCAAGAGAAAACAACACAAAAAAATCTGTAAGGACTGTTGGAAGGTTTCAGGTTTAAATCTCACAGCCCAGACTTCGGTAAAACTATTTTGGAAGCCATTTTCATTTTTTTTTGAGGATAATTTCGTTAACTTAAAACAGCTTTTACATTTCAGGATGGGGTGTTTTTTTATATAGTTATGGGTCTTTTCCTATGACACTGCAATCTAGAGAACCCATGTACCTCAGAGATGCTGATGAGCCTTCTTGTGATACAAATAAATAGCAGCCCCTCAAAAGATCGCATGTATGTGCTACGCTGAGTTTTAATCTGCAGTAGTGGAAATATTTACCAGGTGGTAAACTCGGTTGTGTGAGTAATACCACTTGTTCTGGCAAGTTGGTTGTTTTGTTTAAATTCTTTGTCGTGGTGGCTTGTACGCATTTTAGTCAGGCTACCATTCATCCTTTTTCGACTTTAAATTCCGCGTGGGCAGATCTTTGGTAAATGTATCTGTTGTCTGGTTTTCGGACATTTCTGCTAGATGGAAGACAGGTATTGCCCTGGGGTGACAGACAGGGAGAGGAGGGAGACTCAGCTTGGCTGCGGGCAGACGGAGCCCAGGGCAGACTTCAGCAGTATGTGGTCACAGCAACTGGAGGCAGAGCCTCGGTGTTTGTGAGGCATGGTGGGACTTAAATCTCTGGACTGAAGTAATTGAGGGTTTGGGGCAAAATCATAGAATGGGTTGGGTTGGAAGGGACCTTAAAAATCGTCTTGTTCCAACCCCCCTGCCCTGGGCAGGGACACCTCCCACCAGCCCAGGTTGCTCCAAGCCCCGTCCAACCTGGCCTTCAACACCTCCAGGGATGGGGCAGCCACAGCTTCTCGGGGCAACCTGCCCCAGGGGCTCACCACCCTCACAGCAAAGAATTTCTTCCTAATATCTCATCTAAATCCCCCCTCTTTCAGTGTAAACCCATTCCCCCTCATCCTGTGGCTCCCCTCCCTGATCAAGAGTCCCCCCCAGCTCTCCTGGAGCCCCTTTAGGCACTGGAAGGGGCTCTTACGTCTCCCCAGATCCTTCTCTTCTCCAGGCTGAACCCCCCCAACTCTCCCAGCCTGTCCTCCCAGCAGAGGGGCTCCAGCCCTCCCAGCATCTCCGGGGCCTCCTCTGGCCCCGCTCCAACAGCTCCGTGTCCTTCTGCTGTTGGGACCCCCTGAGCTGGAGGCAGCACTGCAGGGGGGTCTCCCCAGAGCAGAGCGCAGCAGAGGGGCACGATCCCCTCCCTCCACCTCCCTTCTTTTGGGAGAAGAGGTAGTATGTGTAGGTCTAAGTTGGGAGTAGCAGGTACCTGGCCCCTGGGGAGAGGAGTGGGAGAGGCTTTGGTGGCTGGGAATCCCGAGCGATGGAAAGAGTTGAAGGGGCACTGATTAAAGGGGACTGGAGGACGTGGAAACACAGCCCCTGTCTGTTCACCTCTGAATCATATGGGAATGGAAACCAACTGTTCCTTTCTGTGGAAATCCTTCTCTGTTTTGTAAATATGTCAACTTTTTATTTAAATCCAACAAAATTTACATGCATTTGTCAAAAACATTGATGTGAAGTCAGATGTTTCATTGGTCTTTGCAAACTGGCCCCAGCTGTGCACACAAACAAAAATATTGGGGGGGGGTGTTGGAGAAATACTATTGTTACCTGTTCTATGTAACCAAAACATGGAGCAAAAACTAAACAAATATAATGCTTTTTTCCCTTGCATAAATATTTTTCCAGTTGTGTCTTGAGGTAAGAGAATACAACAATTCCACAAAATAAATGATTGATTTAAAAGTCGTATTGAAAAAAAGAAAACAAAAAGTAGTTTCCATGATCCTGCTGTTGAAGGTGCTGCTGCTGAAGTCAGTGCAACTTTGCATGAGCAAAACCTTGGCGTTCTTTCCCTTTCCAGTCTGCTGGAGACTGGGAGAGTTACTGTCTGCGTTTAACACCAAACGCCAGCCTCTGCACCCTGCCTGGCCTTTGCTGTGCCAATTTTCGCCAGTTGTGAGTCAACTAAAGCTGTTTTCTTTTTCTTTTCAGTCTCCCATATACCAGCAGACTTGTGAAAACTTTACTCTATAATTTCATTCGACAAGAAAGAAGCCCTCCTCCAGGGACCCATGTCTTCCAGCAGCAGACGGATGGAGGAGGACTGCTTTACGGAATCGCATCTGGGGTGGCAAGTGAGTCTTATTTTCTAGAAACTATATTTCAAACCTTATGGAGTATTGCCTTCTGTGTGACTTCTCTTACAAATGCACCTGTAGCCCATTTCTTTTTCAACAAGCAATACTGGTGTGTGTGCTCAGTGTAGAAAAGCTGTCTACAGACCTGCTTGGGTTGGGATTGTATGTGATCCATCTCAAGATGTGTTAGAAACTGAAGCAATGGCATCTGCAGGCGCTGCAGGGGATACCTGTGGGACCGCACATGCTAAAAATAGCACTTATTTTTCTTTTCTTGAGACATTAAAAAAAACCCCAAAACAACTAACTAGTAAAAAAAAAAAAACCAACACAAAACAACCAACTAGTGCCCCGTGGAACAAATCACAGTGCTTCCAGTTACTTAAAATGTTGTAAGAAATACTTTTATGTGCATATTTAATCTTTATAATTGCTCAGTTGGTAGGGTGACCTGCTCTGTGGCTCTGCTTGAGCAGAAGATTGGACTTAAGTGGTCTCAAGAGGTCTCTTCCAGTCTCAAGGATTCAGGGATGTCAGGGCCTAGATAGGAATTTTTGTAACATATTGTAGTGTATGCCTTTCCCAGTAGGTTGACTAATGTTTTTTCCTGAATAGTGTGACTAGATTCTGACCTTCCGTGGGTGGACTGTTTGCTATAGAGAGATACCGCCTGAAGAATATGAAAGACTTGATGCCATTTTTTTGTTAAGAAAAAGGCTTCTCATGTTTGGTATACCATATACTGTGTTTTCATTGGTGGTTGCTCTCTTCCCCACGCCAGATGTGTTTTATTGGCGTGTGTATTCTTCCTACAGGTCTGTCTTTTCCATATAATAAGAATAAAATATAGTATATTGCTAACAGGAAAGGTATACGTTTTCTTTTTCCCTGATAAACTAAATAACATTTTTCAAGTCAGTTGCTGTTCAAACTGATACTATTTATTTTGCTCTTTTGTGAAATCCATTCACTGGCAGCATCCCTAAGGGATATTAAAGTTCAGGCCGCAAGTGCTCTGCCAGAAAACATTTTCCAGTCGGTGACAGTGTGCGTGGATCTCCTCATGGAGGCAGTAAAAGAGCACGTCTCTCTAACTTGGTGCAGTTTAGCCTAAACACCTTGCTGCCTCTGCGTAAGATGAGGTTACATGCGGCTCGGTGCGCTGCTGGAACACGCATCTCCTTGCTGGGTTCCAGTTTACGTGCTCAAGGGGAGACCACTGTGATGTTTGGGTTGTGCCCGTAATGTAAACGCGTCAAAAAATAGTTGCTTGGTTTGCAGTTTATTGAAACAGAGAAGAGAAATTAAGTAAATTGTTCCCTACAACCTTTTTATTCGAGAGTCCCAACAGGTACATTCCTTTACTTCTCAGTTGCTTGAGAAAATCGCTCCTTCAAATGTTTTTCCGAAGCGGTTTTCAGTACGTGGTTTGTACTTTTGTTTGTGACTGAAGAGCAGTTCTCACTGTGTATGTTGATACCTCTACTTACCTGATGGCTTTATTCTTCTTGATTCTGATCTCTTTAGCGTATTGAGTGTCTTTCTGCCTTAGTGCTGCCACAGGTAAAAGAGCTTCTTTTTCCTCCTCTTCTGCTTACTTGATTGATTTGTAAAGTCCATCCAAACTGCCACCGCTCCTGCCCTCCTCTGTAGCTCCTCTGATATCATATCGCCCCCATGACTTTTTACTTCTTGTATATCGAGTTTGCATTTCTTAATGCAAACTTTCAAGGTTTTCAGCCTACGTTTGTTCTTGTCGCTTCCTACACTTCCACCCCCTTCACTCCTCTTGAACCATTCTCTTAACAACTCCCTTGGCGTACTCCTACGCTTATTTTCTTGCTTCTTTCATGAGTACCTGAAGTGCCATCTCTTCTCCCAGTGAATTAAGTATCTTCATTTAAAACTTTAAGTAAAAGAGCCTTTATAAAGAGCTTTCTAATGACCTGCCTGGGAAAGGGGAGGAAAATAAGTACCACTTTTTTTTTTTTTTCCTCTTGTTTGTGCCCAAACAGTTGGTTAGTGGTTTTTTGTGTCTGATTATTTACCTGTATATGATATTGGAGTAAAGATGGAACTTGAACACTATAGGATTGGTAGAGTAAATGGCATATTCTCCTATCCAGAATATCTGTGAATGAACCCTTTGCAGTCCTTTGTTTTATATCAGGTCAAGTTTGTGGGTAGAGTGCAACACAGATTAGAAGACAGCAACACAAACTGATAGGCTGTTACGGAACAGAAGCAAGTTTTGAGCAGTGAACATGTGGAAAACTTAACCGTGATGTCTGCAGTGTGTTATTTTTGTGTATTTTATAATCTTTACAGGATAAGAATTGAAAGAAGAATGGAAGAATTGAAAATTCACCTTTATGTTGCTCAGTGTCTTTTGAATACCACATAATGCTTAAAATAAGTTTACTGAAATAGTCTAAATATAATCCATTAGGATGAAAGGTGGAGATAAGAGCCTGGTTTTAAAACGAATTTATTTTTCGTATGAGATTTGGAGGCCTAAAATAATTATTGCACTTATTAATTTTGAATTATTTAACTTGATACCAGAGTCACCTACGTTGCCGTGTGTTACATTACACATATTTTGTAGTCCCTTGCACAGCAGCGGTAAATCAACACTCTTGTAAGCACTGTATTTTAAATCCACCCCCCCTTTCCTTCCTTGTGATTCAGCAGAAGTGATAATTATACACGACATGAGCCGAAGTTTACCCTTTCCCACAGTTAACCTTCTCCTGCTTCTCGTCCTTCATAGTCTGTTTTTTTTTTTTTTTTTCCTCTCGTGAGCCTCCTTAACCCTGAAAACTGTACGGCCAACATCCTCCCACCCATTACTTCTCCCCGCTCTGCCCTCTGACTGCGCGCAGGTTACCTGTGTGCAACCACCTTTCTCCGTCCTGTGTAGAAAATACCTTGATTAGGATTGTATCACCAATTTAACTACTCTGGTAGTTAAATAAACAATTGTGGGTTTGGAATGAGGGGGGGAAATAATGATATTTGAGGTTCGCAACTTCGTAAAGGACATTCTTCTATACTGAGCCAACTTTGCGTTGTCTTTGCAGTCTTTCTGTGGGTGTGCAAAATAATTGTAAAGAGCCGCTAGATGATGTCGATGTGTTCTGAAGGCATAAATCAGTATGCGTGGTACTAAAGATCAGACCTCATATATTAGAAATCAGAAATTAATTTTTCTTGGTTCACAAGGTACATTGGACCAACGTGCCTTCAAAAATTGTTGTTTTTTTTGGGTTTAAATCCCCTTTTTTTTTTTTTTTTTTTTTTTGGAGCATCACTAGTGTTTGCCTATTCGTGGTCTGCAGTTAACCAAGTTGAGAGAACTTTTTGTGGGCAAGCGAAACTTTTTTTAATTAGTCACTTTATTTCTTGCAAAATAGAATTCATGTTACAATGAGGAACAGGTGATATTCTAAGACATGAAAATGTTACTGCTACTCAAGACTGTTGAAAAATAAGTCAATTGAAATGGTTTCATTTGAAATAGTTGATCCAGTTTATACTCTGCTATTAAAAAAAATCGAAGACCTTTTAATGCATCTTGCAATACTTAGGAGTTACTGCAACGGTAAGATCTAATTGACTTAGTTTGTGCTGTTTAGATGATTATAGATTTAATAGATACAATGTTGTACCCGTAAGAATCTAATGAAAAGGCAGTAGACCGATTCATCTTTGTTAATCACCTAAGCAATCATCATAACTAATCTGGCCCTCAAATGTACTGTTGTAGCATTAATATAAATTGCAGAATTCGGTGTATTGTGGTCAATAACGACTCGTTTTCTCATGTCCGTACTCTTGGGTTGGAACTAGAGAAACATTCCTGACAGTTAATGACTTTCTAGCCTGTAAGTGTATACTTCACTCTGCGTTATGTCATTCAGCATTAGTGTACCTGGAGGCGTCTGATGACCTGTGTTGTACATCTGTGACTTTATGTATACACTATAGCTTATTCCTGGGGTTTTTTATGCTACATTCGGGTTAATAGGAGCGCTTACATGGTTGTCTTCAACTTTACAAGAAAGCTATTTATTCATGTTTAGCATTTTATGTTAATATCTTTTTCCTCTTCAGTTTTATGTAGTCTGATTTGTAATATCTGGATTAAAAGACATCAAAGGTAGAGAGACACAAAAAGCTACTAATGATGTGTCTGTTATTTATTACAATTCCACCAAGCTTTTTTCTACTAAGAAATATTTCAGGCTGCTTGTTTCTACTTTCCAGAGCCTTATCGTGATGTGTCACAGATCTGGTGTATGATCTGCTACATAAATACAACCTTGTCTGTCTCCCTGGTGCTTAGTCAATGTTTAATTGCCTCTTTGTGCTCACCCTAATGAAAATGTAGAGCTGAGACTTCTCTCCTACTTCTGTCTCTTCATCTTCCTTCTTGCTTACAGTCTGTAGCGGCGTCATCCTCTTGGCACTGTAACCGTGGCGTTCTGACCTGCCTGAATGTGAAGATTTAGATAGTGACCAGATCTTTACCTTTTTTGTTAGTTTCTCGGAAGATGTGTCTGAACTGGAGCAAAATGTGTGGCTGCAGCTCAAACACGTGTTGTTTGAGACTCAGTAGTTGAGTATGAATAACAGTGTAGCTGCGGCAAGCTCCGTCTGCAAACGCTGCCCAGCAAGGTGGGTTCTAGAGCAGCTTCCTCCTGACCGAAATCAGGGCTGGGGTGCCGGGAGGACCATGAAGTTAGGCTGGACTACTGTCAGAGCGGTGCCTGAATGTCCCCTTTGAGATTCTTCATTGCCTTTTTTAGAATCATAGAATTGTGAGGGTTGGAAGGGACCTTGAAGATCACAAAGTCCAACCATTGACGTAACACTGCCAAACCCACCACTAAACCATGTCCCTCAGCACCACGTCTGTCCATCTTTTAAATCCCTCCAGGGATGGTGACTCTACCACTTCCCCGGGCAGCCTGTTCCAATGCTTGATAATCCTT